AGTGAATCGAAAGCAAATATTAATTAATAACTGATTTGTTTACAGAGCCAATTATCAATAGTAGCAGCGGAAAAAATGAAATAATAATATATATGTATATACATGTATGTATGTATGTGTGTGCATATGGAGAGGAAAAAATTGCTAAACGAATTCGTTTATAAACTCTGTTTGCTCAGACGCAACAACACAATGCGATGTAAATTAATAAAAATATGAAAAATGACGAACAACAACGGCGAGCAAAAGTGGAAGAAGTGGAAGAAGAAGAAGAGAAGGAAAACAACCCAACAATAACAACTTAACAGAATTCAACAACAATAATAAAACACGCGTACGTAAGCGAGAAAATCACATTTTAGATTAGCAGCACTTGAAGGGGGTGGAGTGAGGGAGAGAGGAGATGATCGTGGCGGCTATATTACGTCGTATTACGTGTTGGAACACGCGTGGCAATCGTCTCTATTAGTGTGTGTGTGTGTGTCTGTGCAAGGTGAGCGGGTTTCTTTCAGCTGTGTGTGTGTGTGTGTTTTTTTTTTTTTTGTTATCATTACACGAGTACATTATAATAAGCGCGCACGAGTGAGAGAGAGAGAGAGAGAGAGGCAGAGAGGGGGAGCAGAGCAGCGCTGCGCATATCAAAACATGAAGACGACGACAAATGGCGGCGACCAACAGATAGAATCCATAGCCTCCACATAACTAGAGCGTGCCTCTGTGTGTGTGCGTGTGTGTATGGGTATTTGCGTATAAACACTTCCGCATTCGAGTTCGAATCCAATGAAACAATAACAACATCAACTGGACGGCAGCAGCATGTGCGTTGAGAGCATGTAAGATAAATGCGGCCGACAAAAAGTCACACGCGCTATCTCGCTCGCACATGTCGCCGCACACCAGCCCGACGCGTAGGGCTAAGCCCTTGCTCTTGCGCTCGCACACACACACACACACACTCAATCAGTCACTCTCTTTGCCTGAGAGTAGCGCTGTCTCTGTCGCACGCGTGCATTGTAAGTAATTAAATTAAACTGGCGCAGCGCCTCGCGTTGAACTCAATTGAATTTTATTTGAATTTTATTACAGACATTGTCGGCTGCTGCTCTTGGCGCATTGCAGTTTATATTAGCGTTGTTGTTGCTATTGTTGTTGTTGTTGTTGCTGTTATTGTTTAGTTTTCTTCTTGTTGCTCTTTTTTTCGCTAGTTTCAGTTTTAGTTTTGTTGATTACGACGCAATTGAGTGGCCTGAGTCCCTGCCCGAGTTTCCAGCCACAGACGCAGCCCAGTTTCAGTGAGAGCATGACATGGCGAATGCTCTTGCCTCTCTTCTCTTTTTTGTTGATTATTATTATTGTTATTACTTTTATTATCAATTGAGAACGTGGTCGGCATTTTGTTTTCCTTTTCGCTGGTGCTTTCCTTATTTTTTTTTTATTTTTTTTATTTTTATTTTGTTTACGCTCTATTCAGTTTTTTCACTTGTCGCTGCGTTCGTTCTGTTGTTTTTGCACACTTGACTAATAGTTTGCCCAGGCGGCTCGCGCGAGGCTTATCAATTGAAATTGAAATGAAATACGCCACAACAATCAGACAAATAATAACAACTAATTGCACAGCGAATGCCAAATGCTCTCCATTGCTCAATGAATTCACAAATGTATTGTGGGGCAAGATACGTCGATAGACAAGACAAGAATTTGATATCCATAGCAAGACTAACGAATTATAATTTCGTTCTATATATACTTTATAAAGAATATTAGATTATAATGATAAAATTTATAATAATATAAGGTGAAGAATTAATTATATATAGTATTATTCTATACTTTCAATCTTAAGATCCTTCAATCTATTGTAATTTATAATAACAGAATTTGAAATTTCCTAAAAAGAAATAAATATTCTCTCAAAAATATAACCATATCAACATTTATTTTAGGCTTTATGCATGAAGAGTTGTTCCTTAACATTCCAATTATTTCATACCATAAGTATTCCATATCAAAATTCATAAATTTCAAATGCTATCAATCAGCACATAAAAAATATTGAATGATGGCAAAACAATTGAATGCTCAAAATATAAAATTTATATAAATCTTTATATATATAATAACAAATAAAAATCTACTACAGAACTACTACATGAATACAATCCATAATACTAAATAATATGCCCTAGATATAAAGAAATGTTCCTAGATTTATCGTAGTTATAATCTTTCATAACCAAATATTAAATATTATAATAATATGTTTTTAATTTAACACTTGCTTCACTTGTTCTAAATTACTGCAGCGCTACGATGTCTATGAATATGCTAATGTCTGGCTGGGGCGAACTCGAACTGGTTTCTTTGGTCTCCTTTGGCTCTACACTGAGGAATCTGAGCCTAGGCTAGAGCAGAGCATGGCACTGACATAGTGCGACTATAACACCCATAAGCAGACCAGATATCGCGCGACTATTTGACGTCGTAATCAAGTGTTATTGTCGCGTCTTCGACTTCGACTTTGACAACAACTACGACTACGACATAGACATCGACATCGACATCGACATCGACGTAGAAGTGGACGTCGTCGTCGTCGCGTCTGAGCGGTCAGTAATTGAAAATTTGAATTATTTTGCAATCAGTCGACGTCGCTGGCGAAACGACGTAGTCACTGCGAATAGAGAGATAGCTAGAGACGGTGACAGAGAGAGAGAGATAGAGAGAGAGAGGGCAAGCGGGGCAAATTGGGCAGTGGGCACTTTATATAAGTGTAATTGCAGCGAGCAACGGCGTCTATGCTAAATAGCCGGGCGGTGTCTAGCCGGCTGAGCTTAGATAAGACAATAACAAAATTACAATTCTATATAGTATATACATACATATATACAGAAATGCACAGATGTATGTATGTATGCATATACACAGAGTACAGACTGTATCTGTCCGTGACTTGTCGCTCTGTTCCGCTAATTTGTCGCCGCTTATGAATTATTGATATAGCATAGACTCGAAACGAACGCCACAGTTGCATTTTTATGCAAAGCGCAAGGGTGGGCGGAGGGAGGGACAACATACCCGATAACTTATCGTACTAGTAGAGGGTACTCACTTGTTCGGCGGCGTCTGCGTCAATGGCACCTCAATACTGTGTGTGGTACGGCGACGATCGCCTCCCATGTCGGCCAGTCGAGCAAAGTCCGTGTCCCGATCCTGATCGGCCAGACGAGCGGAGCGCCGAGACTCCAGCAGGCGCACCTCCTCCAAACGCTTCTTCAGCTCGATGGGTTCCTGCAAAAGGATAATACCAACATTTCGTTACTACAAAACTCTCTGAACAGCTGACGCATTTCCAAGTAGTTGGAACAAAGTGGAAAAAACCTCAAATCGTGAGTCATTCATCATCAAAATTTTAATTGTCTTCTCTGTTGTTGCCTGCTTTAGTTTATAATTATTTAATGGCAATTAAATATGAATTGCAAATGAAATATGTGAATTTATTGTGGCTCAATATCGATGAAATGTACAAACATATTCCTAGAAACAATTTCAGCTATTGTCACGCAAAACCTAAACAGAACTTAACTATTAACAATTTCATCTAAAATTTTCCGAGAAATTTAGAAATTGTAATTGTTAGATAGATCAGTTAACAACAAACTGTTTTTTTTAATTATTATACACAATGGATTTCCCATTTTATGTGGTATTACTGCTAAGTATATCAAATTTTCCTATGCTTATCTTTCTTTTACAAAAAAAAATAAAAATAAAAAAAAAATAATTCTTAAAAGTCTTTAAAGTCCTACGTCTCTGCATAAAAATCTTAAGGTCTTAGCATGCACCTCCAATTTTTAGCAAATAAATTACCAATTTTAACAGTTTTATAGTTTTAAATATCCAAAACTGCCAAACATACTCGACCCCATTCACATTTACCGCTAAGTGAGAAATTTTGTAGTAGAGCTTTCAGAGTTCTGCCTTGAATCACATTCACAACAATCTGGCAACTCCATATAGCTGGATATATGCATGAATCGTGCCCAGTTGCCAATTGCGTGCACCCCTGACAATAGCGCCTGGGTTTTGGATACAACCGTTTCACCTGGCTATTGGCCACTGTGTGAGGGAATGCGCCTTGACCTTGAGAATTTGGCCAAGAGTCGAGGGCAGCTAAACGGGTCAGGCACGCCCCAAAAAAAGCAAAGCGAATTTGTACGCTCATTAAATACATGTGCATATATAACTGTATATGTATGTATGTATGTATATTTCGCTATTCTCTTTTCGCTTGACGCCTTTCACATTTGCACATTGCATTTAGTATTTGTATCTTTATGTAATCACCTTTTCTATATCTATGTATATATATATGTGTGTATATATATAAATGATTTTTTTTTTTGTTTTTTGTTGCTGATTTGTTGTCGCGGCAACCTTCAGAAATTGTAAATTTTACACAATTCTCTTTGGGCTGTTTTTAGCTGTTGATTATGACAAACATCTGTATTAAACGTTATTTCAAATATTTGTCGTAATTGTATTTTATTTAATTCGTATGTTTTGTGTATTTATTTATAAACTTTGCTTTGTGCCCGTTTGGCCCCTGTTGCAACTGCAGTGCCAGCACTATAAATATTAAATATTTAGCCAAAAACACACACACAAACACAGATACATATGTATGTATATATCGCGCACCTGTATCTGACTATCTGACAGATTAGATATTCAAATGTATTAAATTTGTCACTCTCTCTAATTGTAATTGCAATTAATTTTTATTTTTTTTTTTATTTAATATTTTTTGAATGCCAAATGGAGCGATTCGGCTGCTGTTGTTGTTGTTCTTGCTGTTCCGTTAATTGGGCACAAAACGCCGGCCGGCGACGTCAGCAGACGGGGCAAAATGCGTCAGCGGGGCGCGTATCTTACAGATACAAGGCGAAACACACACACACACACACGCATATAGAGAGAGAGAGAGTGGGTGATGGGGTCAGAGTGAGAGAGAGAGGGGGGAGTGAGCTATACACACGCACACGCAGGCAGCGTTGCGGCAGTGAAGAATTCGTTGACGTCGTCGTTGAGTTTATTTATAATTATTTAAATATTTGGTTGTTATTTTATTTTATTTTTTTTATTTTTCTTTTTCTTTTTGCTCTCGCCAATGTCTCGCCTGCTGAATTTGGGCTACTAGGCCTCGTTCTTAATTTCGTGTGCTTCTTTTATTTGTAATTTAGCTTCTTTTTATTTTCATTTGTATTTTCTCCGCTGCTTCTTTCACACTTTGAACTTGGTCAAAACACACACACACAGAAATTTCACTTGCACTTTTGTTTCACTCGCTCGACTTCGAGTTTCACACGCTTTCGAAAATTTTTGCTGGCCTTCCGTAGTGGAGTTTTGCTTTGGACTTTGTTGTCCCTCTTATTTGCTCTTGTTGTTATTATGGTATATGTATATTTTATTTCTTGGGTTTACTGTGTTCTCGTTGTTGATTTGCTTTTGCTGCTTGCTCTTGGACTGATGCGAAAGGTTCGCGCGCGCATTCAAGAATGATTCTGTGTGGCGCTCGCTGGTCGTTGCCGGGTCCGCTGCTAGTGCTTCGGCTCGGTATTTCGCGTTGCTTCGGCCGACGCTCGTTGAGTTCGGCTTGCACTCGGCGGCGGCTCTCTTCGGCGTTGCTCTCTTTGGTTACTCTCGACGCTGTGACGTTTGTTTTTGTTTCTATGCTTTGTGCTGGCTTTTCGCATTTGGCCGCCGACAGCCGCTGTATGGTGCCGTTTGTTTATGTATCCCACATTGAAGGCGTATTCGTGTATCTATCGTTGGGTTTGTGTATCTCGGCAACCATTGCACTCGCACTCGCACTCGCACTCGCACTCGCACTCGCACTCGCACTCGACCCAACGCCAGTTCCTCTGAACCAATTCGCACTCTCTCACTGCGCCGTCGCGTGCTCTCTTCGAGTGCAACTCGAATGGGCAAAAATGAAATTCACTCAAGCTTTTACGTAAGCACAAATAGAAGAAAACGATAGATATTGCATATGTGTGAGTGTGTGTGACTTTTGTTTGCCGCTTGCACTGAGCAACCGCCCCGCAGGTAGCTGCATTCAACTCACTTTATATAATGTTTACCTGTTGTCTGTCCGCTGCCTGACTTTAACGGCCCGTTCTGTGGCTCTTTGTTGTTTGCCCGGCTCAAAGCCAGGCTCTGTCCGTGTGCAGGCAGGCAGCGCAGCTCACCGCAGCGCAGCACAGCGGAACACACAAAGGCCGTGTGCTGGAAGCATTCGCCGATCGCGTCGCTCACTTTGATTTAAGAGCAATTAACTTTGACTTAAGAGAAATATTTTTGTTGTTTATGACGCGCCGGCCGCTGACAATAACGAAGATCATCATCGTGATCATGGTGATCATGATGATCAAGCCGACGCGAATGCGGACGCTCACTTCGCGTTTCGTTGATGATGACGAAACACTAACGCCACCCCCCGCCCGTCCAGCCCACTTCCTCTTTGGTTACGGCTCGACTCTGAGCTCATGCTGGGATTTTTACTCTGAACGTGGGGATTTCGGTTTCCCTCTTTGTGCTTTACGTCTTAATGCCAACATATTTATGCAGTGTTTATGACACATTTAATGCCAGCTGATGGCCCAGTGGGCCCACTGATGTTTCACTCGACGGACATGTGATCAAATGATCTTTGCTTTAGTTCGGTCTATTATTGAAGAGAGAGAGAGCGAGTGAGTGCGAGAGAGTACTGTACTTTACTCGCTTTTGAATATGTAGATGTGTGCATACAATCCTTTGTTGATTATTTCTATGTGTATGCCAAATATAAATAATTGACTAATCTTTGGCTTATCAGCGGCCCAGTTTGCCTTTTTGTTTTCATTGACTGCCCACAAATTAATATTTGGGCTTCAAATCAAATGCAAATGCTGTTATGTTGACCTCATATCATCTTTCCACTGAAATTGTAAACTTGAAAGCCTCAAAACTATATTTGCCATTATTATGATTGCTGTTCTTGTTGTTGTTGACAATTTGACAATGTTTTTTTTTTTTTTCGAATATGATAGACAAAGGAAAACACTCAAATTTTGAATAGGGCGTTGGGTGTACTTTGCATATGTATTGAAGTACATAAGTCTATAGATATACGTATATGCACATATGCTGATATGTTGCTGCTGCTGCTACTGCGTCGACTGCCCGATGATAATGGGCAACATTTGCGGCCGGAGATAACGCTTATCGGGGTCCTAACGTCTCGATTCTCACACGACTTATGCTCTATGTATGTCGCATGGAAAGTTGCGACGGCCAAAACCGCATGGAACACGAACGCACACGCCCAGTATGTATGTAAATAAATAAGCGAATTTCGGTCTGGGAATATCGCTGGCCATGTGTGCCGCCCGATAAGGCCAACGCGAGGCGATAAGCGATAAGGGCTCTTAACCACAAAGAAACATTTGCGGACAATGGGGCAATGCCAGGCGGTCAATTGCTGTAAGCCATCAATATTTTTGAGCATATAAATAGCTATATATTATGTGTATGATTTTTAATAGGATAAGAGTGGATAACTTAAGATTTCAAAAAAAAAATAAAATAAAATAAAATAAAAAATAAAAAAAAAATAAAATTATTAATTTATAAATAAAGAAAAAAAATATATAAAAAATAAAATACACACATATATCATTTTGATTGAATTATTATTTATATTCATTATATATTTATGGTTCCTCCATGATATTAAAAATAATTCACTCAAGGCGATAAATTGCATTGGCGCCTGCGCAATATTTGTCACTTGACACACTCTACATCATCAACTCGATCATCATCGCCATCGTGATCATCAGCCTGATGATGATAATGTGGAAGACGCGTGTCGATTCCGAGCTTAACGCGAAGCCTTCTTGAAATGCGCTAAACGTGTGCCGAATACACGATCTGCATCCCAAATGAGATATTTATGATTATGTATGAGTGCGATCGTAAAATATTTTGTTTCGTTTTCGCTTTTCGCTTTTGTTTCTTTTTTAGGGGACAACCGTTTGCATATTGATTGCATCCCACTTGCGTTTTAGCCAGCTGCAAACAGCGAACCGAGCCTCGACTCACAATTGCTGAATATGGCTAACAAATGCAACAGATTAAGGCCAATTGGATCGAAACGATTGAGAAATGCCAAAGCGAATTGTAGATAAATAATATAGACATAATAATATAATGGTATTACCATTTTAAAGTAATATCATATATATAATACTTGTCTTATTATGATATCAGTCAACTCCATTCTTCTTTTGTTTCATGTGTGTTTGATCTTTAGAAATCTATTTGTATTTCCCCCCTGGCGATAAGTTGAAGTTTTTGTCTATTTCCTATATGCTAAGTGAAACGTACTTGACGACGTAGTTCTTATGTGATTAACGTGTAAATAGTTTTTCGAGATATGCCTTTGGCTCAGTCTCTGTCTATTATTTCAGAGTTTCTCATGAGTTTTTGGAGCCCTTACCAATTAGTTGTCTATCTATGCAAAGCCATCTCGCTGACCATATTTATGTATGCATATTGTCCATAATAATGCTTCTTGTTTCGTTTACCATTTTCCATTTTCCGGCTGCCTGCCTTGGCTACTTAGAGCAAGTTTGCCTAATTTGCTGCGCCTAGCCCAAATGGCGGCCCATTCGCAACTCGATGCCTTTCAAATGGCCAAGAGAGGCAGCTGCCAGATGACGTTTGCCTATGGCTTATGCAACGATCACTTTTTGTAGCCGCTGTTGTTGTCTCTGTTGCAGTTGCAGTGCTGTTGCAAGAATACGCGACGTGGCAAATTCACGAACGGGGCGCCCCAAAATGTTGCCCACGTGCTGCTTGGCACCGCAATTTGGGTTAATTGTCTATGGATCAACTGCAACTCCATTGTGCTGACTGACAAAAAGAAAATGTCTAACTACACACATACATACATAGTATATATATACATAGTATATATGTATATATGGGTACATAGATCTCTTTATAACCGCCACAACATTAAAGCCGCTTAAAGCCTTGCATTCTGACACGCGTTCGCTGCCAATTTTGTGATATATGGCTCATGCAAAACTGTCACGATAATGGGGCGAGGTATATATCCGATATCCGCACAATAGATATACATGCAAACATATATTATTTCCATAAAATTATGCCTGACTCAGCCACGAGCTAAACACAAATTGAACTTTGCAACGTCGCGACTTTTGTAGATAATAAATTTTAGGCGTCATTTGACGCGTTTTCAAAAGTACAAAACTACATGAAATGCTGGCTGGGGTGTAACCAACTGCAGACTACTCGCTCAGGGTATAAAAGCAGTGAATATCGAGAGTCCTAATTGGGTCACACTTGGGATCAAGCTGAATGATCTCACTCTTAAATAACTCTACGTAGACAATTCAAATCTCAATCTCAACAAAGACAATTCCATATATTCTAGACACTCAAAACTAATATGCTCGTTTCACTTCCTGAATGAGCATTGGGTAAAAACACGAAAACTGAAAACTGAAAGTTCGGCTGTTGCTGTTGTTCCAGTTTGCTGTTGTTTTTGTTGATTGTTTGCTCTCCATTATAATCATGTTTTTACATAATATTTACCGTTTTCCGAAATGCCTAACAGCTCGACTGGGCAAGCGGGTATATGCATTTGTAATGATCTGCACATTATCAGGAATAGTAGAAATGGGTTTTGAGTTCTATATACGTTTCTATAGACTATTATAGATATAACAAACGATTTTATGAAATAATCTTCTTATAAAGCTGATTATACAATAATCAAAAACATATCAAGTTAAGTTGTATATATATTATATCTAGACATTCAATCAAGTGAGTTAGGCTATTTGTAAGCTCTCAGATCTAATCTACTCATAAGGTGTACTAATAATATTTCTTCACAAAATTTGTTTTGAAATATGTTTCAGTCAGTAAGAACATATCTATATGCTTTTGCCTAAGCTGAAATATACTAAGAATATTATAAATTGAAATTCTAAATGAACGGTATAGAGATCAAAGAGA